ATAAGAATCTAGGCAAGAGATGATGGTACTGTGGTGGTGACAGAGGAGCAGGCAAAAGAAATCAAACACATTCAGAGATTTAGAAGAAGCAAAATTCACTTAGAATGCATAATCTGAATGCAGGAAAGGATGAACGACAAACGAGGGATGACGTTCACATTTCTAGTGGGGGAAGTCTGATTGATGGTGAATGGTACCAACCACTGAGAAGGGCAGGTGTGGCAAGAAAGCTTGTGATTTTCAGTCGCTGAGCTTGAGGCATTGGGGAGGCAGGCAAGTAGACATGTTAAGTAAGCAGTTGCATGCATATATAGGTCTGGAGCCCCAGAGAGGTCTTCATGGAAACAAACCTGGGATTTGTCTATGAACAGGTGGAAATTGCAGGCACTATGAGTAGAAGACATTACACAGGGAGAGGACACTATGTGAGAAGAGGACCTGTGGCAGAGTCCTAAAGAACTGCTTCCCTCAGGCCTGAGTGGAGGGGAAGAGCCAATGATGAGAGGGACCAACAGCCAGACTCAGAGGAAGAAAGACAGGAGCCAGTGAAAAAAAGCATTTCAAGGACAGTCTACTGTGTCTAAAGCCGAGCTGTCAGAAAGAATGAGAAATAAATCTAGTGAGAATATTTCTAACAAAGATTGGATAGGCTAGAGAATGAGTAGGAGGTCGGGAAACAGACAAAACCTATTCAAACGACTTAACTGTGCAGAGGAGGAGGAGTGAGAGATGGAAAAGACAGGGAGGACGTGTGAAGGTGCAGCTGAGAAGTGTGTGAGGTATTGGATCGAGAAATCTAGGAGAGGAGAAAAGTCAAGAAAGCAGGAAAGAGTGATGGATTTGGAAGAAACTGGAGGGCCCAGGGGATAAGAAGTTTTGGATAGAAATAAGGTTAGGAAACTGGAATAATAGCAGACGGAAATGAGAGGCTGGGACACCAGGGCTCCAGATTTCCAGTGGAACAGGGGCAAGTGATGATAAGGTTCTCGGCCCCCCGAGGGTGGATGGAGCTGCAAGAGAGGGAAAAAACTGGTAGGCCAGGCACCGAAGCCTAAGCCTAAAGTAGATAAGATCCCAGAAAGCTGGGAGGTTCACAGTTTTATCATACACCCAGGTACGAGCCTCAAAGGAAAAGAGATTTTTAAAAAAGATTTTATTTATTCATGAGAAACACAGAGACAGAGAGAGACAGAGGGAGAAACAGGCTCCCTGTAGGGAGCCCGATGTGGGACTCGATTCCAGGACCCCAGGATCACGACCTCAGCCAAAGGCAGGTGCTCACCACTGAGCCCCCCAGGTGCCTTGGAAAAGAGATTTTTATAAGATGACAGAAGATTAATGGTTTGTAATAAGTACTGAGGTGCTAAGAGAACATCAGCCCCACCTTACAAACCATTTGAAGGGGCAAGGCAGCTCCTATTCAAGAGAGCCACAGTTAGATTTTCTCAGCGAAGAAACTAGATCAATATAAAGAAAGAATGTGAAGACTACTCTGTGAAAAGGTGGGAGTATATAGATAAAAGAAAAAAAGACAATAAAAAGAAATCATTTGAACATTACCAACAGCTACATATGGAAAGCCCACAGCTGAGCCGACACCATACTCAACAGCGAGAAACTGAAAGCTTTTCCTCACAAATCAATAACAAAGCAAAGATCCTGCCACTTCTATTCGACATGGTATTGGAAGTCTTAGCCAGAGCAACTGGGCAAGAAAAAGAAATAAAAGGCATCCAAACAGGAGAAGAAGAAAAATTATCTGTTTGCAGAGGACATGTAGAAAACCCTAAAGATTCCATACAAAAACAAACTGTTAGAACAAATTTAGCAAAGTTGAACACAAAATCAGCACATAAAAATCCACTGTTTTTATAAACTAACAATGATCAATCCAAAAAGGAAATTAAGAAAATAATCCCATTTACAATAGCACCGAAAAAGAACAAAATATTTTGAAATAAACTTAAACCCAAGATGGTGAAAGACTTGTACACTAACTACAAGATACTGCTGAAAGAAATGAGACACACCAATAAACCCATGCTCATGGACTGGAAGACTTAGTATCGTAAAAATGTCCATACTACCCCAAATGCGTTATAGGTTCAATCCAATCCCTCTCAAAATTTCAGGGGCATTTTTTGCAAAAATAGAAAAAAAAAATCCTAAATTCACACGGAACACAATGGACCCCAGATAGACAAAAGAATCTTGAAAAAGAACAAAGCTGGAGGCCTCACACTTCCTAATTTCAAAACCTATTATAAAGCTACTAAAGCTGGTAGTGTTGGCATGAACATGCAGATCAATAGAACAGAACAGAGAGCCCAGAAATTAAAAAAAAAAAAAACCTACATATATGACCAGCTAATGTTAAACAAAGACACCAAGATCATATAATGTAGAAAGGGCTCAAAATGGATTAAAGATCTAAATATAAGATCTAAAACTATAAAACTCCTAGAAGAAAACACAGAGGGAAAGCTTCAGAACACTGAACTTTGCCGTGTTATTTTAGATAGGACACCAAAAACAGAAGCAACAAAAATAGAAATAGACAAACAGGATTACATCAAACTTAAAAGCTTCTCAGCATCAAAGGACACCATAACAGAGTGAAAAAGCAACCTGTAGAATGGGAGAAAATATTTGCAAATTATGTATCTCATAAAAGAAAACCTACCACTCAACAAAAGAACCAAGGAACTTGATTTTTAAAATGGGCAAAGGATTTGAACAGATATTTCTCCAAAGATAAACAAATGACCGAACAGCATTTGAAAAGATGCTCAACATCACTAATCAGTAGGGACATACAAATCAAAACCAGAAGATGCTGTATCATACCCATTAGGATGGCCATGGTCAAAACGAAACAAAAACAAAACAACAAGCATTGGTGAGGATGCGGAGAAATGGGAAGCCTCACGCAGTTGGTGGGATTGTAAAATGATGCAGCTGCTATGGAAAACAGTATAGTGCTTCCTCAGAAAATTAGAACTACCCTAGACCCAGATAATCCCACTTCTGGATATATACCCAAAAGAACTGAAAACAGGATCTAGAAGATATATCCGCACACCCAAATTCACTGTAGTAGCATTATTCACAAGAGCCAAGAGGTGGAAGCAACCCAAATGTTCATTGACAATGAATGGATAGAGAAAATGTGGTTATATACATGCATATATCAGATTAGTATTCAGCCTTTAAAAAGAAGGAAATCCTGCCACGTGCTACACCATTAATGATCTTTAAGATCATGCTAAATGAAATAAGCCAGTCACAGAAGACAAAATACTGCATGATGCCACTTATCCGAGGTACCCAACGTAGTGAAACCAACAGAAACAGAAAGTAGAATGATGGTTGCCAGGGGCTGGGGGCGGGGAGAGGAAATGGGTTTAATGGGTATAGAGTTTCAGTTTTGTAAGATGAAAAAATCCTAGAGCTCTGCTGCACAACAATGTGAATATGCTTAACATACTGGCTGTACACTTAAAAATGGCTAAGGTGACAAATTTTATGTTATGTGCTTTCCACCATGATTTTAAAACAAAAAGGCCATACGGTACTACAGAATACAGGAGAAAAGTTTGAGAAAAGGAAGAGCAACAGGACCATAAGAGTTTGCATTGTGAATGCACCCTCGAACATCAAGGGTGGAGAGAGAGTAAAATGAGGCCTCCAGGCTTACTGCATTTCTGTTCAAGATCTCTCAGATCTAATTCAGAACGAGTGGGCTGTTTTTCAAGTCTCAAGACGACAGTGGCAAGAAATTATGAGGGTATGTACGAGACATCCTGAACAGGGTACATGGTTATTTCCTCAAATCTTCGCCTAGTAGCAGAAACAGCACTGACTCTCAGGGTGGGGGAGGGTCCTCCTGCTTGCATTAGCGGGGGGCCTGGACTGGGTGTTCCCGCAAAGGGAATCCTAGTTCCCATCATGGCAGGAGGTGTAAGGACTCTAGGGTAGTTAGAAGAGGGACAAAGGGCACACATTATATGTTTCATATTGCATTTGTCAAAACATTTCCTCTATCTTTTTTTAATATAATACAAATTTTAAGCTTCTCAGGTCTGTTCTTTACATGCTAGCTAATGGAATTCAAGCACTGAGCCTTGAGAATACTTAGGGGGAAAGGAGGGATATATTACCTTTAATCTACAGCTAGAAAAAACTAGACACCATGTTGCATCCTCAGATTATCCCTGACTGAGGCAAAGGCAAATGGAGACAGTTTACAAAAATATCAATATGAATTTCCTTTCTACTGACTTCCTTTACAAAAGCTGTCTTCTGCTTAACAAAGCAGTCATTTAAGGCATCTGGACTGCAGTGTCCTTAAATACTTAAGCTGTAACCCTTAATCCCCAAAAGACGACAATTTAATTGGCTCTATTATTTATATAATTTTTTATACAAAAATTTTCTTTAAATCTTATTACCATGTTAAACCAGAGGGGAGCTCAGGCACTTTCTTCTGCTCTCAGGCCTGGAGACTAATAAAACCCAGGACTGCTGAATTCCATATTCAAACAAAAGGTGTGAATGTCTTAGTCTCATTTAAATTCACCCAGGCTAATGGGATAAATGTGGAAAGTCACAGGGGCTGGAGCTAGCGGAATCAGTCAGGGTCTAACACAGCGGTGATAACAGATCATAGTTAAGAAACTGAAGGAATTTTATAAAATCCCAAGGAGACAGGGGAGTTCAAACCCTTCTACTCAAAACTTTGGAGTTGACTTCTCTCCCTTTCTTCAGCTTCCGATCTCACTACTACTATCATCCAGAGTTGATGGCTCTGCTAGTACAATTTTCCAGGACTGGTTACAACGAGAAGCCTTTGTCTTTGCGCTTTTAACATATATTTATCTTTTACACCATGATGTTTTACAGAGAAGAAAGAGCTCAGTCGAGCAAGATTTGACCTCAGGCCCCTTTAGGTGGTTTTGGTGTTGGAGGTGAAGGCGGGGTGGGGAATATTATGTATTTACCAGTGTTTTCCATACAGCCAATGGCCTCCCCATGTCAGCAGGCAGATCCCAGCTGTCGTTTTCTTCCAGTGATTTCTAAGTGTTTTAAAGAACACCGTCATCTTCTCCTAAAGATTTGCTAGGTTCACAGAGGCAGAAAAAGAAAAAGGTAAGTACCTAAGCTCACCGTGTAGAGCCCCGAGTGCCTTCCATCCGCCCATCCTCTCTGCTCTCCTTCCCTCACGTCTGTTCCTCCTTACCACACCTCTGGCCTCTTCCTGTCTGCTCCCTTGTAGGCTCATCAACTTCATCTTCTCACTGCCCACCTGCCTTTCTTCTTTCTTCACTTCTTTCTACCTAAACTCACTTCTTGCCTCTCTGCTCACCTGTGTCTCACTGTATCAGAAGCAAGCGGAGAAGAGCAGAGAAGGGAATTCCAGGCTTCCTGCATTTTCTCCCTCCCTAGTCACTCTACCACTGTTTTAAGAGTATTTGTCTACTATATACAAAGGCCTCAACAATAAATAAGTACCATAGAAGGCTTATTCAAAATAGAGGAAGACACTAGCCCCAAAATAGGAAAATAAGCGGAGAACACGCACAGGAAATTCAAAGGGTAAATGCAACTGTGTGAAAATGTTCAACTTTCTAGGTAATCAAAGACATGCAAATCACAAAGAATTAGCACTGTTCACCTCTAAAACCAAAAATTTTTAAATGATCATATTCACTGATGACAAAATGAGATAGACACGCTCATGAACTGCTGTAAGCAAAGGGAGTTCACACAACTTTATTAAAAAACCAAGTGACAATATATATCCTTATTCTGTTTGTTTTCTTCACAGCTTTTACCATTTGATGATCCTTATTTGCTCATTTATTAGCTTATCCCACTAGGACTGTAAACTCCACAACAGTAAGGACTTTGTTCTGGTCACTGCTGTATCCCCAATTCCTAAAATAAGATCTAGCCCCACAACCCATTCAGTGCTAACTGCTGAATGTCATGTGGTTCAGGACACACCACCCCAAAATATGACAAATTAGCATATTGAATATTTTATTTTTTAATTTAATTTTTTTACATATTGAATATTTTAAGCTAAAGGAGTCTGAGACAATGAGTGACCAATCATTGACTCATTGTCAATGAGTGAGAATAGTCAGAGTGACCAATGAAAGGTCACTCTGACCTCCCCACCTGACCCTTCTTTCCTGAAATAAGTCCTCAAACCCTCACGTATGAGGTTGCCCTCCTTAAACCCAGAAGGGAGCATCATCTCTGGAGACACGGGGATGCCAAGAAGAATCCTAACAGGCCTTGCCAGGTTTCCCGTTTTCCTCATACTCAACCTAGCATATTCCTCCATGACTGTCCACTCTTCATCAAAAACTTAATTTTCTGTCCACTGATCACTACCCTGTTCCTTGGCTATAAACCTCACTTCCTCACTTGTAGGAGGTGAGAGGAGAAACCAGCCAGGTTTGCACTTGGGCGACTGAGTAAGGATTTCAATCATTAGATTTGGACCGCGGGTTTGTGGAGAAGGGTAGTGTGTGCAGTTGAGAAGATGGTGGATTTGTGATGCCTGCAGGATCCCCAAGTGGCTATCCAAATGACCAGTCTGGATTTAGCAGTTTGAAGCCAGGAGAAATTGGGTGGGAGATAGAGATCTGGGCCTTGTCCCTGTGGAGGAGGTCCAAAAACCACCGGAGGCAAGGATCGTGGGGGGGGGGGGGGAGAATGCCAATACTGTTAGAGAACAACCTGAGAGTTGATAAAAAGTCTGTTTACAGGCCGTCCACGAGCCAATGGAACTCCTTTTTTGTTACAAAACAGTGCTCCATTCACAAAAATGTGGAAACACTTTTTCCCCCCCGCAGGCAAGCGAGTATAGCAGAATGAGCAGCGGTGCAAGGATCCTGAGGCCTAGATGCCAGGGCAGCTCTCTCACTTCCAGGCGGTGAGAACCTGGGTAAGTCATTCGGCCTCCACCTCCCTTTCCCTGTTAGTAAAACGGGAAGACGGCATCTGCTCTGATCAACTCAGCTGGCTGCAAAAATCACACCTGCTGGGGCTGTGAACCCACGTTGCTCGTTCGTAAAATGAGGATACAACACCTGCTCTGATTAAGTGATCTGGACACAAAGATCTCATCCGAAAGACCTGGGAAGGCACTTTGTAAGTTGTTCTGTATTTAAGTTGTCACGGGGATCCCTGGGTGGCGCAGCGGTTTAGCGCCTGCCTTTGGCCCAGGGCGCGATCCTGGAGACCCGGGATCGAATCCCACATCAGGGTCCCGGTGCATGGGGCCTGCTTCTCCCTCTGCCTGTGTCTCTGCCTCTCTCTCTCTCTCACTGTGTGCCTATCATAAATAAATAAAATAAAAATTAAAAAAAAAAAAAAAGTTGTCACGGCAGTGTGCACTCTATCAGCCAGCGACGCATACTTCCTCTAAGTACCCTGCAGTATTCTTACTCCTCAATCTCGGGTAAGATCTGAATGTGATGCCTTCAAGTGAACGTCTCGCGTCTGGGGCCTCTGGGGGGCTCAGGGGTCGAGCACCTGCCTTCAGCCCAGGGCGTGACCCTGGGGACCCGGGATCGAGTCCCGCGTCGGGCTCCCTGCATGGAGCCTGCTTCTCCCTCTGCCTGTGTCTCTGCCTCTCTCTCTCTCTCTCTCTGCCTCTCATGAATAAACAAACAAAATATTAAAAAAAAAAACCCTCCCAATTTCTCGTGGGCAGGCGCCTCCAGCAAACACAACCAGGTAAAGCACCAGGAATGAATGAACCGACCCATCCACCAAACCGCCCCGAAAGGCCCAGAGGGGAAAGGGGGCGGGGGAGTCGCTCGGGGCCCAGCTCCCAGGCCAGCTGACTCCCAGGGGGACACCCGGGGCCCCGGCCCCGCCCCCACCCCGACCCCAGGGGGGCTCCCGCCGCTCCGCCCCGCCCCGCCCCCCGCTCTGGGGCAGCCCCGGCCGCACCCCCGGCCCCGGGGGAGGCTCCCGCCGCCCCGCCCCGCCCCGCCCCGCCCCCCGGAGGCCTCCCGCGGGCCCCGCTGCCCGCCCCCGCCCCGGCCCCGCGCCGCTCACCCGGCCGCTCCCGCTCGCCGCCCCGGCTTCCTGTGCGCTCCCTCACGCTTCCCCCGCGCCTTTAAGGGAAACCGCGGCGCCGCCGCCCTCGGGTTCCGCTGCGCCCGCCCGCCGGCGGACCGTGCTGCGCGGGAGCCCGCCGGGGGCCGCCCCTTCTCGGGCGCCCGCGGAGTTTCGGGGAGGGCGGGGTCTCGGGCCCCGGCGGTGTCGGAAAACCAGGGAGCCGGGCACGTGCAGGAGGAAACAACAGAACAAAACACAACCCCCCCCCCCAGCCCGGAGCTGTCGGACAGCGGGCGCCCGCGGTGGCCCCGCCGGGGGGGGGGGGCGGTGGAGGGGGAGCAGGTGCCGCGCCCGCAGGTGCGCCCAGGGCGGCGTTGGAGGGCGGGGGGCGGCCTGCACGGGACACCGAGCGGCCCGGGGCGCGTGCGGGCGGAGCCCTGGGGTGACGGCACCTGCCGCACTTCCAGCATCGCTCTCCGGCCGCAGTTCGAGTCCCGCTCCCCCGCGTCAGCCTTGGCACCACGCCAGCCCGTCCAGGCTGCCTCCTTCCCGCCTCCTTCCTCCCCCATCATTCCTCCAAACAGCCTTGATGAGTGTGGGGCGCGCGCTCGGCCCTGGGGGCGCTCCTGCGCGGCGCCCCGCGTGGTTCCCGCCTTCCCGCGTTTGCTCCGCGTACACGTGCATCCTCCCGGGCTCCCCGCGTGCACGTCTTAGGAAGCGCGAGACCATCCAGCGGGGGCCGTGCGGGAAGGCAGGCTCTACCAGGCCACCCTCGGTCATGGGAACCTGCCAGCCCTCTCTCCGCTGTCTGTAAAGTAGGGGGCTAGGAGGATCATCATAAAACACATCTCCTAGCTGTAAAATGTTGTGGTGCTAAAGGTATGGGAGACAGTTCTTGTCACTTCTCTTCCCCCAGCTATTTAGGACATGTGCTCTTGAAAATGAGTTGCCGAGCTGCATCCCTGTAAGGCTAGAAAAATCTGAAGACTACGAGCCGGATGGCCCAATGGGCAGACTAAGCTTTAGGGCTTCCGCAAAACACTGGTTTCCAAAAATGACAAACGTTCTCTTCGGACGTACCATAACTTCCCAGCCAGAAAATCTAGAGAGAAATTTTCTCTCTCTCTCCTTTTTTTTTTTTTTTAAGATTGTATTTATTTATTCATTCCATAACTTCCCAATCAGAAAATCTAGAGAGAAATTCTCTCTCTCTCTCTTTTTTTAAAGATTTTATTTATTTATTCATGAGAGAGAGAGAGAGAGAGAGAGAGGCAGAGACACAGGCAGAGGGAGAAGCAGGCTCCATGCAGGGAGCCCGACGTGGGGACTCGATCCCGGGACTCCAGGATCAGGCCCTGGGCTGAAGGCAGGCGCTAAACCGCTGAGCCGCCCGGGCTGCCCAAAAGTTTTCTCTTAAAACTTAGGAGAGGAGAACTTGATTTTATTTGAGTTGGAGCCATGGACAGTTGGAAACATCAGGCATCACAGAGCAGGTGCCCAGAAGGCCTGTGAAGAAGGGCAGCAGGTCAATCCACCTGGGAGAAAAACGACACCCCAGGAGAGAGGCAGCCCCTCCGTGGGAGGGAGAACACAGACCTGCATAGCATAGCAGGCCTCACTCAGGACCATCCCTATTGAAAAGTGCTCAGGGGGCCATGGGAATATCCATTAGTTTACATTCTTTCTTTATCATGAAGTCTTTAATTCACTATGGTGAATGGGGACGTTGATGTCAGCCTGTTGTGTTCCCAGGAGAAAAATCTGGAAACAACTCCCAAGTTTCTACCTGGACTATGAAACTAGAAAAGATGAGACATCTCCACAGAATAAAAACTTCAGAATTACATGTGCAAAAGAGGGGGCGGGGGGGCATGGCAGGTCTCTGAAAGAGACCTTGTGTTCTCTCCTTAAATCGCATGCTTGTAGAGATAGAAACGGGGGAACTATGACTCAGATATGTCACCTGCAAATGGGAAATATCTGCATCAAAATAGGACTAAGTCATAAATTAGTCATAAATTCATCTTCAAGGAGTTAACTGTACCCATTACATGACACGTATTTACTGACATTTTAATGTGTTGCCGTAGTATCCCATTTAGTTTTATAACTCATGCCATTAATATCTTCCCTGCAGTAAGGCTATTGTTGGCCCTTTGGTTAAGCTAACAACTGTCCCCTTGAATCATTTCCAGAGGGACACGGTGATAAACAAGTTAACTAAGTATTGTCCATGCTTTGTAGAACTTAACCTCCCACCCCCTCAATCCCACTCTATGTGGGATTATAGTGAAAGCCAAATCTTAAACATGTAGTTCATAAATGTGTAAGGACACAAATGACGCTAAAACACAGAAACTTTTCAAATGCTCTTTTCAGACATCCCTACCAGCACTGAGTGTTGGACATGGCGATGCACCACCTGTTGTCCCAGCTGCTGGGGGTGGTCAGACCTTCAGCTGTCAGCCCCCCTTGGGGACAGCACCCAATGCAGTGAGCCATCTTCACCAATGTCGCACCCTTCTGGAGGTGGCCCACATCCAGTGACTGATCTAGGAGGGAGTTCAAAAGCTTGGTCATTTGGGCCAAAGCAAAACACCTCTGAGAACCCCACAGCTCCTCACAGGGTCAACCGAGGCTGTCGGACACAACCCAGTTCAGCTTCTCCCTCGGCCCAATCTTGTGTCCTCCTCTCCCGTCTTCAAAGTGTTGGCACTGAACACTAAACACTGGGGTAGAGAGACCAATGACCTCCTAAAGATATCCTTAACCCCTAGAATCTAGTAATACTTTGCAGGGATGATTAAGTTAAGGCTCTTGAGATGGGAAGATTATCTTGGATTATCCAGGTGGGTCCAATGTAATCACAAAGGTCTTTATAAGAAAGAGACCAGAAATCAGAGAGGCAGGCAGTAGATGTGAAAATGGTAAATAATTTATAAGTTATGGATAATGTTTGGGAAATCTGGGTGAAGAGTATACTGCGAGGAGGGGGTTTATATCAGTTTAAGATACAGAAAGTAATTCCTCCTCCGCTGCCAGTGCTTGGATGAAAAATTGAGCATGTAGCTCTATGTAGACCAGAGCCTTAAGGGCCAATCTGCTGAAAGATCTCAGGAAAGGTTTCAATCTTGTTGAAAGGGGTGGGGAATTCAAGAAAGTGATGGTGATGAGCCCTACAAAGGTTATGCTCTATGATTGGTGAAATAAACCAGTCACAAAAGACCACATACCATGGGATTCTGTTTCCACGAAACATCCAGAATTAGCACGTACTTAGACATGGAGAGTGGAGGTTGCCCAGGGCTGGGGTCCAGTTGGAAAGAAGTGGAAAATGCCGATGGAAAGACTTCGTTTTGGGGTGATGAAGTGTGCTAGGGTTGGTTGTAGTGGTGGCTGCACGACTCTAGGAGTACAATAAGGGGACCATTGCGTGGTGTAGGATCTCTATCTCGATACAGCTGCAATGAGAATTAAAGAGAAGGTCTTACTTTTTCCCTCAGGTAAGACTGTACATGTACATAATACCTGAAATTGCTGAAGTGGAGAAGCTGAAGGGACTCCGTCTTAGAAAGGCTCTGTCCAGAGGTACCTGGGTGGCTCAGTTGGTGTCTGACTCTTGATTTCAGCTCAGGTCTTGATCTCAGAGGTTGTGGGACTGAGCCCCACATTGGGCTCGGTGCTGGATGTGGAGCTCACTTAAGATTCTCTCTCTCTCTCTCTCTCTCTCTCTCTCTCTCTCTCTCTCCCTCGGCCCCTGCCCCCACTTGCACTCTCTCTCCCTCTTGAAAAAAAGAAAAAACAGAAAGGCTCCATCTCTGCTATTTTTCTGCTAAGCCCCATTTACTCATGTTCTATATTTTGTCTCTAAATAAGCCAAAGAAACTATGTTCCCACTTCAAGGAGGAAACAAGAAAGTTTACCCTTCTCAAGTTATGCCCTAAGACCCCAAACACCTAATAGCACCTAAGAAGAGCCAGATCTTGAACGTGTTCCAGGACATTAGATTCAGTCAAACCTTGACTGGCGCTGGCATCAATACCCCTACCTTCAGGAATTTATAACACCTATTATTCATCTGTCACCTGCCTTTGATCAGACTCTACCCGGGATTTCTAAAGGAACATGTACACTGGATGCCTTTTGCAATATAAACTCCTAACCCCAAGCGATGACAAGACTCATTGTCCTTTGCTTTCTGAGTCTCCCAGACACTCCGTCTGTTACTCTTTACCGGTCACTCACACTACTCAATAATCTCAGTATTCACTTTCTCTGGCTTGCATTTGATTTCTGTCCTGCATGAGCCAAGGACTATCTTGGCTGGTCCTGCGGGACCCTCTTCTGAGTGCTCGGACCCAGCCTACCTGCATCAGTGCCACAACTCCCGGTCAGCCGTGAAGGGAACCAGTTTGGGTCCATGCCAACTCACAGAGGATGGAAGGGAGAAAACAGAAAGAACCTGGATCCTCGATGACATCATTGAGCGACATGGTTGTACCGTGCCTGGAGCTTGCTCAAACTCTGGACATCCTATTACACGAAATAATA